AAAAAAAAAAAAAAAACTAGGGGAGAGGCATAATACAGATTCTCTCTCACCAGCCTTAGAAGTAACCAACCCTGCTGACACCTTCATCCCAGACTTCCAGCCTCTAGAATTCAGAGATAAGAAATCACCGGGTTTAAGCCACCCAGTCTGTGGTACTTTGTTATGAAGCCCTGGCAAACTAATAAACTTAACTTACCTATAGTTGTCTTAAGAATGTAAGTATTTCGAAGGGGAGACTATCTTTACAATGTTACATCCTTTGTAGCTTTACATAGCAGGTACTCAGTAAATATCTGTGCGACAAATCTGTCCTACTATATGTTATGTCATGTTCCCATTTCAGTAAATGACAACTCTATTCTTCCTGTTGCTTGGGCCCAAAGCCTGGAGTCATCCTGAATGCCTTCCCCTTTCCCAAAATCCTCATCCAATTTGTCAGTACATCAGCTCTATCCTTAAAATATATCCAGAATCTGACCATTTTCACAGTACCCTTAGCTATCACCTTTGTCCAAGCCACAACTATTATCTCTCATCTGGATTAAGTTCAAAAGCTCCCATCTCACAGCTGTAGGGATCCATTCAGAAGCTCTGAGTTGGCCGGTACAGTGGCTCACGCCTGTAATCCTAGCACTTTGGGAAGCCAAGGCAGGCAGATCACCTGAGGTCAAGAGTTCAAGACCTGCCAGGCCAACACAGTGAAATCCCATCTCTACTAAAAATGCAAAATATTAACCTAACGTGGTGACACATGCCTGTAATCCCAGCTACTAGGGAGGCTGAGGCAGGAGAATCACTTGAACCTGGTAAGCAGAGGTTGCAGTGAGCCAAGATGGCGCCACTGCACTCCAGTCTGGGCAAGAGTGAGACTCAGTCTCAAAAAAAAAAAAAAAAAAAAAAAAAAGCTCTGAGTTGTTATAAAGATTATTTTAAGCTGAAGGCATCTGAGCTTCAACAGATGCAGGAAAAAGAAAAAAAAAAAAAGCCTTCTGGGAGCTTCTCTTGTCTGACTAAAAGCAGCAACTTCTGGGAAATGAGGCTGCCATAAAGTCCCTCTCCAGAGAAGTTCTAAGGCCATGAAGAAGCTCGAAAGACCTGCCATACCTGCATAAACAAGTACTACCACAAACTTTTTTTTTGAGACGGAGTCTTGCTCTGTCGCCCAGGCTGGAGTGCAGTGGCCGGATCTCAGCTCATTGCAAGCTCCGCCTCCCGGGTTCAAGCCATTCTCCTGCCTCAGCCTCCCAAGTAGCTGGGATTACAGGCGCCCGTCACCTCGCCCGGCTAGTTTTTTTGTATTTTTTAGAGATGGGGTTTCACCGTGTTAGCCAGGATGGTCTCGATCTCCTGACCTCGTGATCCACCCGTCTCGGCCTCCCAAAGTGCTGGGATTACAGGGTTGAGCCACCGCGCCCGGCCAACCACAAACTTTCTTATTTCCTATTCTCCTAAAAACAAACTTGTCTTTCCTAAGGAAACCTATTTGCTCTTCTCATAGAAGCCTTTCTCCCAGCTTCCTTTTTCCTACTAAATTAGAAAGTCTTGGCCAGATGCACTGGCTCACACCTGTAATCCCAGCACTTTAGGAAGCTGAGGCGGGCAGATCACCTGAGGTCGGGAGTTCAAGACCAGCCTGACCAACATGGAGAAACCTCATCTCTACTAAAAATACAAAATTAGCTGGGTGTGGTGGCACATGCCTGTAATCCCAGTTACTTGGGAGGCTAAGGCAGGAGAATCGCTTGAACCTGGGAGGTAGAGACTGCAGTGAGCTGAGATCCTACCATTGCACTCCAGCCTGGGCAACAAGAGTGAAACTTGGTCTCAAAAAGGAAAAAAAAAAAAAAAAAGAAAGCCTCAAGTTCTAACCACCCCCTTTGAGTTACTATTACTGAGCACTCCTGTGTGAACATGTCTTGCATGCATAAACTCTTGTTCCTCTAAATAATCTGTTTTGTCAGTTAAATTCACAAGCCCTAGAAACAGAACCCAAAAGGTTGGAGGAAGATTTTTCCCTGCCTACACTGCTTTACCCTTACTTTTCTACCATTTATTCTCCACACAACAACGATAATCCACCTTGTCAAAACACAGGCCCAGATCATATCACTCCTTTTTTCAAACTCTGTAATAGATTCCCATATAACTTAAGAGTAAAAGCCAAAGTCCTTAAAAACCTACAAGACCATATAACGGGTATCAACATGATTTTGCTCTCTACCTTTCTGATTTCACTCTCTATTATTATTTTCCCTTACTCATTCCACTCTCTGGTATATAGAACTCCTTACTGTTTCTATTGAATAAAAGGGATTAATGAAATATAAAGGCACCATATAGATAGAAATGCCTGGATGGCATCAGTTCAAATCTTAGCTTTCAATCAAAGCGAAAATGCATTTCAAGTTATCATGATAGAAAAAAATGTTTCAAATTAACAATTCACTCCTTAACTAATGACTTTCGTAACTATATTTTTAAAGAATGTATGTTGTAAATAGTGATTTTGAACCACTAGCGGATTGTAAAAATCAACTCACCAGGATTTTTTTTTTTTTTTTGAGATGGAGTCTCGCTCTGTTACCAGGCTGGAGTGCAATGGTGTGATCTCAGCTCATTCTCCTCCCCGGTTCAAGCGATTCTCCTGCCTCTGCCTCCTGAGTAACGGGGACTACAGGCGCGCACCACCATGCGCCCAGCTAATTTTTGTATTTTTAGTAGAGACAGGGTTTCAGCATGTTGGCCATGATGGTCTCGATCTCTTGACCTTGTGATCCACCCGCCTCGGCCTCCCAAAGTGCTGGGATTACAGGCATGAGCCACCACTCCCGGCCTTCAACTCACCAGGATTTTCTAATGTGATAGAAGATAAAAGGGAAATTGTACAGTAGATGGTATAGGATTATTTCATAAACCTTTGTCTCCATATAGGTGCATCAGATCAATTATGTACAATCTTTCTTTAGGTCAAGGTCAGAAAAATTAGAAAACCACTGCTCTCAAGAAAGCCCTTAAAAGTGAAACACTCTTTTGATTTAGGACCAACAACTCTAAAATACATTCTGTTCCTAAGAAATAGTGGAATGAAGCCAGGCATGGTGCCACACACCTGTAGTTCCAGCTACTGGGGAGGCTGAGGTGGGAGATCACTTGAATCCAGGAGTTCAAGGCTGCAATGAGCTATGACTGAGCCACAGCACGCCAGCCTGGGTGACAGAGCAAAACTGTCCCCCTCCAAAAAAAAAAAAAAAAAAAGTAGAAAGAGCTGAAACAGAATCCCTGGTGTAATACTGTGAAATATAAGTACGTTTGGTTCCCATTTCCTGGCATACAATTTCTAAAATCCTTGGAATAACCAGTGTCTTTTTGTATGCTAATGAGATGACTGGTGACTGGCAGTCCCTAGGTAAGCTTCATGATGGGGGAGGGTCATAGGAGGAGGTTGGGATTTTTCAGTCTCACCCCTGAACCTCCAAGGAGGAGAGGCTGAAGGTTAGGCCAGTCACCAAAAGCCAATGATTCAATGAATGCTGACTACATAATGAAGACTGCATAAAAGCCCAAAAGGACAAAGTTCAGAAGAACTTTTGGCTGGGCATGGTGGCTCACACCCCAGGAGTTCGAGACCAGCCTGGCCAAAGTAGTGAAATCCCGTCTCTACCAAAAATACAAAAATTAGCTGGGCGTGGTGGCCCACACCTATAATCCCCGCTACTTGAAAGGCTGAGACATGAGAATCGCTTGAACCCAGGAGGCAGAGGTTGAAGAGAGCCAAGATGGTGCCACTGCCCCAGACAGAGCATGGAAGCTCCAGACCCCTTCCCCTATACCTTGTCTTACATATCACTTCATCTGTATCTTTAAAAATCTATTAATAGTAGCCATAAAAAAGAAGAAAATCATGTCCTTTGCAGTAACAAAGATGCAGCTGGAGGCCACTACCCCAAGTGAATTAATACAGAAACAGAAAACCAAATACAGCATATTCTTGCTTACAAGTGGGACCTAACACTGGGAACACAGACACAAAGATGGCAACAATAAACACTAGAGATTCCACGAGTGGGGAAGGCGGGGAGGGGCAGGGGTTGAAAAACTACCTATTGGATACTGTGTTCACGGCTTGGGCAATGGAATCATTAGAAGCCCAAACCTCAGGATAAGGCAATATACCCCTGTAACAAAACTGCGTATGTACCCTCTGAATCTAAAATTAAAAATATATAAATACACAAAATAAAATAGTTTTATAACAAACCAGTAAACATGTTGCCTTGAGTTTTGTGACCACATTAATCAAAGCCAAGGAGGGAGGTCATAGAAACTCTGATTTATAGGTGGCCGGTCAGAAGCACAGGTAAAACAACCTGAGGCTTGCCATTGACACAGAAAGTGGGCACAGTCTTGTGAGACTGAGCCCTCAACTTGTGTGATTTGATGCTATCTCCAAGTAGAGAGCTTCGGAATTGACTTGTAGGGCATCCCCTGCAGAGCGACTGTTTGCCTGATGTTTGGGAGAAAATCCCCACACACCACGTATCTGGTGTCAAAAGTGTGTTGAGTGCAGCAGGAGAAAACTGAATGTGCTTTTTCTACACACTTGGTCAATTACATCAGCTGGAGAATGAGGAATCAAGGAATCACGCTACTCTGAAGAGGGTAAATGAGGGAACTCAGCATATTCTTTTATAGGCCCCAAAATTTTCTCTTTAAAATGTTTACAGTTTACTAGGTGATTAAACCCATTTACTCACTTCACTGTCACAAACGTTCTCGAAGAGAGGAATGCTGGGGTGATTATCCTCGGATAAATGACTTATAGCAGTCCCAAAATATTCAGGCCCTGGTTTCCAATTTTGAGTAACAATCTAAGGCCTTCTTTCCCTTGCACCAGAACTGCAGACAAGCCTCCGCTAAAATCCCAGCTTTGCCACATACTCTGCAGTTTTGGCAAATCCCGTGATAGGGGATAAAAATGTTACTTGAGCCACCCAGAATTAAAAGATGGCACCTTAAGAGGTGCTTCGGGAGGAACCGGAGCTCCCGCGCTGGGAGGTCTCATTCCTTGGTCCCACTCCAGCTCCGGAGGAATCCGCAGTCAGGAAGCCTCGCAGGGCGGAGCCACCGAATTGTAAACAATGGCGGCCGACCTCCTCCGTTTCCCGAGGAACCCAGAGGGCGAGACCCCTGATCCCGACCTAAGGGTATCGCGGATTTGGATTGGGTCTGGGGCCCCGGACACCCTGTGTAGCCCAGGGCCTCCTGACATCCCGAGGGCCTCTGGAGCCAAGGCCCGTGCAGGTCTGGGTTTGAGGCCTTTCCCCAGAAACCGCAGGTCCGGCGAGGACTCGGGACCCCGAACTCACCCAGCTGGCGAGGGAGAAGACACCCAGGACAGCCCCCATGGTGACGCCAGTGATGGAGGTGGCAGGTCCTGAGGCTGCTTTCTAATGCGGTGGTAAGTGCCAGCTGAGGCGTCTCCCCAGAAACGCGACGGTTCCTCAAGCCGGAAACTTGGCCCTCCACCGGCGCACGGATGCGTCACGGCGTGGCCCCGCCCACCGTCCACGACCGAAGCGGCCGAGCCGGGGGGGAGGGGGGGGTTTGGGGGGCCTGTCATTGGCTGAGGGTGCGCCTGTCATTGGCTGAGGGGGAAGGCGGGGCTAAACCATCCTGGGATTGCAGGAACTGGGAAGGTGTCATTCCTTATATCATTTGTATTCATTGTGCAAAGATCTGGAGGTTACAGAAGTGTACAGAGAGGCACGGTATCTACGCTCAGAATTTATTCTCTAGTTAAGAGATCTGACACCATGCCCCAATGTAATGAATACGATGAAGCAGTATGGGGGAATAGGCTTTCAATAAAGGTGTATTTAGTGCCTACTATTGTAAGGGAAAGTAATTTAGTTGGGCAGTAGTCTTGGAAGACTTCTCTGAAAGATTTATTTTTTAATCTGCGAACCAAAGGATGAGTCCAAATTAACCAAGAAACGATGGGAATCGTTTCCTAAAATGTGGGATGCACCCCATTTGAGAAAAATGAAAGGCTCTAAGGGTGCATGAACAGAACATTAAGCGATATTAAACAGCAGAATGAGAACGTCCCATTTCAAACCAATAGGCTAGTTGTTTGAGGCCAGTATGGTATTTAACATTTTTCTAATGTTTATCTCCCTTTTTAACACAGTAAGGGCTTCATTTTCCAAATCTCTCAAACAGGCAACCATGCCTGCAGTTTAAAAATATTGTTTTGTTTTGAGGTGTGTGTTTGCAATAACCTTTTCATTTCTACCAAGCAATGCTGATTTCTCATTTAACCAGTGATGTAAATATTCCTTTCAAAACACATTTCAAAACACATTTGAGAGTTCACTTAAAGAAGAAAATGAAAACATTATTTACTTACATATATAATAGTTTAGTTGGAATGTGGCAAACGATGATGTCTGGACAATGAGATGTCACTCTTCTCCTGTGGTGTGTTAATCTTCCCTGATTGATAAAACTCACTGGAAGGGGATTTGTAATTGAATTCCTTCTGGATTATCAGCCTTTAGTCTGATAAGGGAAATTCATGAAAAGCCCTTCTGTCCATGAGCAGTTCTCATGGACAGAGCAATCATCATACCAGTGTGGCATATTTGGGGATGTTATTTCCTGGATTCCTTGAAAATGTATTCCAAATTCATCTTTTACAGAAATGGAAGGAGGCTCACAGTGTGCCCAAGGCCATGAAAAGTGTTGATGAAAGAAGAAAGAAAACTACTCACATTTAGTAATTCCTACCTCTCCTTTCCCAGATCCCTCTCCTCACCGCACATACACAAATACCAGTTCAAGTCAGGTTGCTTCAGGACCACTGCACTTTCCAGGGAGCCCTTAACATTCTTGCTTCTTTCTGTCTGAGTATTGTTGGTCTGGACTTAAGAGAGCTAAGACTGTGATAAATTTTATAGATCAAATTCTACCAGAAACATACCTGTAGTCAAAAAGAATTAGGTTTATTTAGCTTGTTCAGAAAGGGAGAACACATATCAAAGAAAACATAGGGTGTCTTGGTAAGAGGTAACTGGGGATAACTTATTTTAGGATTTGGGTTTATGCTGGGTAACTAAATCCAAGGAGAGTTTAAGGAAGTGGAGAACAGTTTTGGATTGGACACAGTCAAGGAGTAGAGGCAATTCAGTGATTAGTTATCTTACATATTTTTATCCGGGAGGTAGAAGGATTAAAACAAGGCTAGATTTGTTCTTGGAAAAGAAGCAAAACCCACTCATATTAGTCAGAATTGGAAGATGTTGAGTCCTATTTGTGGTACCAGAGTGGCTTTGTCTGTGTCTTGCTCCAACTACATGGTGGTCTTGTCTGATCTTTGTTCATATTCTGTGATCACTGTTTATGTTCCATTAGAAACATTAGGTCTAGCTGTCAGCTGAACAGTTTTTCACTTTCTAACCTGCAAACATTTGTCCTCCCAAATGTAGGATCCCACCCATCTCTTAGTGTTTCTGGCCCTAACTGGTTGAGTGTGTCACCTCTACTTGGCCAAAGGGAGGAGAGCAGATCTTCGCGATCATCTACTCCAATCTCCCACCTCAGGCAGGAACCCCTCAGCAACATCTCTTCTAGGGTAGGGGACTCACTGCCACCCAAGGCAGCTCCTCCCATCTTTACATATCCGTTGTCAAACCTGTCAGGCCTCTGAGCCCAAGCTAAGCCATCATATCCCCTGTGACCTGCACGTACACATCCAGATGGCAGGTTCCTGCCTTAACTGATGACATTCTACCACAAAAGAAGTGAAAATGGCCTGTTCCTGCCTTAAGTGATGACATTCTACCACAAAAGAAGTGAAAATGGCCTGTTCCTGCCTTAACTGATGACATTACCTTGTGAAATTCCTTCTCCTGGCTCATCCTGGCTCAAAAGCACCTTGTGACCCTGCCCCTGCCCGCCAGAGAACAACCCTCTTTGTAATTTTCCTTTACCTAACCAAATCCTATAAAACGGCCCCACCCCTATCTCCCTTCGCTGACTCTCTTTTCGGACTCAGCCTGCCTGCACCCAAGTGAAATAAACAGCCTTGTTGCTCACACAAAACCTGTTTGGTGGTCTATTCACACGGACGCGAGTGAAAAAACCTAGGTTTCCCCTTTATGTTGTTGAAAAGATAACACATGTACTTGGTTATAAAATACTGCATAAATGAAGTGTCCTTCCCACCCTTTCCCCACCCTCATCTCCCAGATCTCCTTCCGGAGTTGCTACTGGAATATGCATATGCCAACATTGTAGCTATTACCCATCACTTCTTTTTACATGTGATGGCATTCTTTTTTTTTTTTTTTTTTTTTGAGATGGAGTCTTACTCTGTGGCCCAGGCTGGAGTGCAGTGGCACAGTCTCGGCTCACTGCAACCTCCGCCTACTGAGTTCAAGTGATTGTTCTGCCTCAGCCTCCAGAGTAGCTAGGATTACAGGTGCCTGTCAGGCCTCTGAGCCCAAGCCAAGCCATCGCATCCCCTGTGACTTGCACGTATACGCCCAGATGGCCTGAAGTAACTGAAGAATCACAAAAGAAGTGCAAATAGCCTGCCTCGCCTTAACCGATGACATTCCACCACAAAAGAAGTGAAAATGGCCGGTCCTTGCCTTAAGCGATGATATTATCTTGTGAAATTCCTTTTCCTGGCTCATCCTGGCTCAAAAAGCTCCCCCACTGAACACCTTGTGACCCCCACTCCTGCCCGCCAGAGAACAACCCCCCTTTCACTGTAATTTTCCTTTACCTACTCAAATCCTATAAAACGGCCGCACCCTTATCTCCCTTTGCTGACTCTCTTTTCGGACTCAGCCCGCCTGCACCCAGGTGAAATAAACAGCCATGTTGCTCACACAAAGCCTGTTGGGTGGTCTCTTCACACGGATGCAAGTGAAAAAACCTCGGTTATTTTCCCCCCATATGTTGTTGAAAAGATAACACATGTACTTGGTTATAAAATACTGCATAAAGGAGCACACTGTGAAAATGAAGTGTCCTTCCCATCCTTTCCCCACCCTCATCTCCCAGATCTCCTTCCGGAGTTCCTACTGGAATATGCATATGCCAACATTATAGCTATTACCCATCACTCCTTTTTACACGTGATGGCATTTTTTTTTTTTTTGAGACGGAGTCTTACTCTGTCGTCCAGGCTGGAGTGCCGTGGCACAGTATAGGCTCACTGCAACCTCAGCCTACTGAGTTCAAGTGATTGTTCTGCCTCAGCCTCCGGAGTAGCTAGGATTACAGGTGCCCACCACCACGCCTGGCTAAATTTTTTTTGTATTTATAGTAGAGACAGGGTTTCACCACGTTGGCCATGTTCATCTTGAATTCCTGACCTCAGGTAATCCACTCGCCGCTTTTTTTTTTTCACTTAACTTATTCGTTCATTCAATAAATATTTACCAAGCTATTACTATGTGTCAGGCACTGTTGCCAGTGATGAGAAAATAGTAGAGAACAAAACAAAGTGCCTACCCTTAAAAGATCTTATGCTGTAGGGGAAAAAATCAAGCAACAAGCACACACGTATATAACAGACACTGAAAAAAGCTGTGAAAAAAGAAAGGAGAACACAGAGTTGGTGGAGGTCTATTTTCTTTTCTTTTTTAAATTTTAATTATTATTATTTTTTTGAGACAGGGTCTCACTCCGTCACCCAGGCTGGAGTGCAGCAGCATGATCTCACGTCACTGCAACCTCAGCCTCCTGGGTTGAAGCAATTGTTGTAATCAAGGGAGTTATAGGGAAACGCCACACTCTGAGACTAATTCAGGAGTCCTTTATTAGCTGGCGACCGAGACACGGCTAGCGCTCAAAATTCTCTCAGCCCCGAAGAAGGGGCTGGATTTTCTTTTATACTCTGGTTTGGAAAGGGGAGGGGGAATCGAGCTGAAGCAATCTCACAGAAGTAAAAACAGGCAAAGAAGTTAAAAAGACAAATGGTTACAGGAAAACAAACAGTTCCAGGTGCAGGGCCTTTAAATTCATCACAAGGTGATAGGTGCAGGGGCTCTGGGTGCTATCTGCCGGACACAAATGCGGGGGCTTTAGAGTACTATCACCCGGGCGAATTCCTAGAACTGTGGACATAGCTTGCCACAGTACCTTATCAGTTAATTGCACTCTTTGATGTGCTGGGAGTCAGCTTGCACAAGTTAAGTCCTTGAGGAAGGGGGTGGGTAAGGAGCCCTAGATGTGTTACAAATGAAGGAGCCAAATGGAGTCCCTCTGGCTTTCTCAGCTAAGGGAGTCTATTCATATTACAACAAGGTAAGGTATCACACAATTCTCATGCCTCAGCCTCCCCAGTAGCTGGAATTACCGGCACATACCACCACTCCTGGCTTATTTTTGTATTTTTAGTAGAGACAGGGTTTCGCCATGTTAGCCAGGCTGGTCACGAACGCTGACCTCAAGTGATTCGCGCACCTAGGCTTTCCAAAGTGCTGGGATTACAGGAATGAGCCACTGCGCCCGGCCCTACTATTTTCAAGAGTAGTCTGGGCAGGTCTTTTAGAGGGCTTGACACTGGGGCACAGACATGAGTGAAGTGAGGAAGCAAGCCATAAAGATACCTGGAGGAAGAGCAGGAGAAAATGCCCTGAGATGAAAGCATGCTTTGAGGCAGCAAAACAGGGTCTGGAGGCAGGGAACAAAAGGCCGATTCACACTTCAGCTATGACAGGAAATATCCTCTCCATAGGGTGTAGGCCAAGTAAATGACTTTGTAACTCTACTTCATCCTCTTCATTTACATAGGGCGTGTCCCAAGTAGAGGGTAAACTCCCAAAAATTCTGTAAAGGGGCCCTTGAGCCCCTATGCTTGGGCCCCCTCCCACACTGTGGAGTGTATTGGTGAGATGGAGTCTTGCTCTGTGGCCTAGGCTGGAGTACAGTGGCTTGAACTCGGCTCACTGCAACCTCTGCCTCCCAGGTTCAAGCAATTCTCCTGCCTCAGCCTCCTGAGTAGCTAGGATTACAGGTGTGCGCCACCACGCCCAGCTAATTTTTGTATTTTCAGTGGAGACGGGGGGGTTTTCGCCACGTTGGCCAGGCTGGTCTCGAACTCCCGACCTCGTGATCCGTGTGCCTCGGCCTCCCAAAGTGCTGGGATTATAGGCGTGAGCCACCATGCCCAGTCTGTACTTTCATTTTCAATAAATCCTTTCATTTCTTCTTGCTTTGTGTGTTGTGTCCAATTCTTTGTTCAAGACGCCAAGAACCTGGACACCCTCCAATGGTGACAGCTTAGAGGGAAAATGCTGAGAGATGAGGTTGGACAAGTATTCAGGGGGCAGTTCACTTCCAGCCTTGTTGATGGTGACAACAACTCTAGATCTTATTCTAAATGTAATGGGGAAACAGTTGAAAGCTTTTGAGCAGGTGAGGGACATGGTCATGCTTACCTTTTTTTTTTTTTTTGAGATGGAGTTTCAAAAAAAAAGCTTTTAGCCACCGCGCCAATCATGTTTATGTCATGCGCATCTGTGTGAAGAAACTACCAACAGGCTTTGTGTGAGCAACAAGGCTGTTTATTTCACTTGGGTGCAGGCGGGCTGAGTCCAAATAGAGAGTCAGCAAAGGGAGATAAGGGTGGGGCCGTTTTATAGAATTTGGGTAGGTAACGGAAAATTACAGTGAAAGGGGGGTTGTTCTCTGGCAGGCAGGAGTGGAGGTCACAAGGTGCTTAGTGGGGGAGCTTT